TTTGTTCTGAAATCTGAATTTTAGTTTGATTTTAGCATTTATGATAAATGTGGGAATCAAAAGGAAGAGAAAAGCCAAGAAGAAGGAAAATCGAGCTCGATAAGAACTTAAAGATGAGAAGCCATGGAAAGTCCCGGCATCAGTACTGTCAATGAGCAGCAGCGCAACTGGGGCGATGTTACAGACAACTTCTGAGATCTCAGTCCAGGGGACTGAAGGATTAGAAACAGTACAAAAAAAAAAGAGTGTTTACAATCCAGTTTTGTTTGAAACTGGTAGTCTCTGCTTTTAATATAAGCAAAATTATTAGAAGGTAACATCTACAGTAAAGTTAACCAATAGTTTTGCTGATGCCAGTTATTGTTGTCACATATTTTATGGGTTTAAGTAATCATTAGCACATAATGCAACATTTTTCACTCGGTGTGATGGTTTAGGGCAACCAGAAAGACATCGGAATCCATCCTCGGATGGTCACTGTTTTGTAAGTTGAGCCACTGTGACAATGCACATGTTGAGCATTGGCATGATTGACCACACAGCCCACAGTTTGACCCCTAACAAACACTGTCGAGTGCTTATAGCAATCTGACTCGTCATTTTGCCTGTCAGTTGCTCTTGTAACTGCGACTCATCATGACGACGACGCTTATCCCCTCTGGGGTCCATCGTAGACATGCAATTTTTTGTTGAAAATGAAATTAAAAGTCAGTGACGATTGCAGGTTAGACCGTAAACTAGTCAATTTGACGAAAGAAGGTTGAAGATGGTATTTACAGGTAGGTCATGTACGTCTTTAAAAGTACATTTGCCGATATCATGTCCTCTTCAGACACTCTTGCTCTGTGTTATCCGGTCGTGTTTTGTTATTTTGATCATGTAAATAACTTGAGACGTAACTTTCCAGTCATGTCCCTGTGGTCGCGTAGATGCTTTCAGTTTGATGCCTCAAGACGGAGTGAGTCACTCATCTTTACCTCAGTGCTGACCCACGCATCACCCTAGATTGCCCGAGGTAGATTGAACTGATTGTCTTTAAGCAAATGTGGACACATTGCTCGATAAATATTGCTTTGGGTGTCTCTTGGCCTTTGAAAACTGTTTTAAATATTGCCCTGAAGTGTCTCAAAATCTGATTGAGATCCTATACTAAGAAGGAGACAAATTGCCACAGCTAAATTCAAGAAATTTCACAAGCGAGTTGATGAATAAATAACCCCGTAGTGTTTGGAATAATGTCTAAATATGTGTGGGTGTATTTTTATCTTCCAGCCCCATCGTGAAGCATAACTGCTGTAGCAAAAAGCCTGAAAGCTTTACTCTGTATATCACATCACAAGCAGAAGCTGGCAGGGGGCTGGGGGTTCAGGGGTTGCTCCATCTCTACAGAGGTAGGCGGAGGGAGGGGTGGGGATGCACGATGAAGAGCTGAATGACGCAGCCAAGAAAGGAAAGGGCGGGATGCATGGAGTAGAATCCCCAACAAGGAGATGAGGAAGAGGAGTGGGAGGAGGAGGTGGAGAAGAAGAAGCGTAGGCAGACTGCGTGGGAAGGAGATGCTGCATAATCAGCTTTCTAGGGCTTTTTCCTGCTCTCCTCTTTACTCCCCTCACTCTTTTTTCAGTAGCCTATTCCTCTCTGTCGGCCCTTTCCTTTTTCAAATGACCGTCTCTCTTCTCTTTTAATTTTTCGCGTTTTGTCTACATTCGCTGTTTTATTCCACCCCCAGAATGACTCATTTAGCAGCACCAATTCAGGTGTGTCAATATGACACTTTTGTCTTGAAATTCACACTTTGGAAATTCATTTAAAAAAAACAAAGCTGATTTCAAGTAGTCTCTGCTTGTGTCTTCAGACATGACACCTCATGCTAACTATTTATGTAAGCTGGAAACTAATACAGAAACGGTGAGAGCAGCGGCTTGTCTGCATGCATTTTCCCAGTCCAATTCACAAAATAAATCTTTTTATAGCTTTATGGCTGTCTAACATTCTGCTCGGGTCTTCTCAGTCAATCCTATTTCACACTCATCAGCTTTTGGCGTCACATTAAATTAGCTTCACATAATGAGTGAGAAACCGAGGAGTCGACTGATCATGAGCAAAGAGTAGCCCGATGACTCATCGACATCTCTTACGCGTTCAAACCGCGCCTGGTGCTGCTCCTCTAAAAGGCAATCTGGAGCTCGGGAGGAGAGAGGCAGGGGAATGTGTGGGTGGAGGGGGAAGCGGAGGAGCAGGTGGTGATCGTGGCAAAGGGAAGTGATGAGGCGAGAGAGAGAGAGAAAGAGAGAGACGGGGTTTTCCTATCAGAAGCATCCCCTGAATACTGAGTAACTCCACAGCAGATTAGGTGGAGCAGGTTGGGAGATGGAGGAGAGGCGGAAGGGAATGCAGAGGTGTTCATTCATGTGTGTCGGGCAGACTTAAAATGTGCAACTCGTGGGTGGGTGTGTGAACAAATGGTACTAAAAAAGTCCATGGCTATTTGAGGTCCTAGACTCTATGCGTACATGTAATTGTGAATGAAGAACTCCTACTTAAAGGGACCGACCCATTAAGAAATCTGGGCTCACATTGTTAAAAACTGCTAAGCAATGACTGACCCAGTTTTGCGGGGAAAGGGGCGTCTGCAGGTCCTGTGCTGCTTTGGAACCACCATGCAGCCCTGAAATATTTCTTGTCTGAGTTTAAATCTATATTACGCTACATTTAAAAAAAAAAAAAAAAACTGTCATTTTGTGGTACAGCAGACAATTGTCATTGCAATTTGTTTAACAAATTTGAAAAAGTGACAACAAAGACAGGAACAATACAGCATTACGAACATGCAACAGGCAGTCAGTAATGATCATTTGAAGAGTGGACTGTAAAGCTTGACCCACTTGGCCAAAGACTACAGTATTTAATGGTTGGTAAAAAGTTTGTGTCCGTGATAAATAGTGTTCAACGACTGCAAGGAACCATCACGGGTGTTTATATACATTTTGTTGCCATGATTACTGTGAGGTAAGAAGCTGGCCCTGAAAAGTTGTTTCTTCATGTATGTATGAGAATTTTTCATATTTCCAAAATGAAACAAGTATAATTTCTAGTTTTCTTATGTCTTTAACTTCTATGTCAAACACAAGATGTTCAAAATGAGACTCTTAATATGTTTAATATTCATGATCATGATTTAGTAAGGGCAGATTGTGCAGAAATAATAGTAGCCGGGATCCTTTTTTGGATCCTTTCCTTCTGGTTTTTTAATAATGTCAAAAAACCAGAAGAAAAGGTCTTAAAGATCACCATAAAGAGGAACGTTTATTTAAATTTTTTCTTATGTCTATGATTTCTATGTCAGACAGGAAAGCAGCTGTAGATGCAGCTTTCCTATCAGTGAGCAACTGTGGCATCTGCAGACGTATGGAGAGATCCAGACATAAATTATATACATTGTTAAAAATTATTGAATTACTAATACAGAGCTTTGTTTACACCTTTCAAGGAACTGTGCAAAGAATTTCATGGAACGGATATCTTTTGAGTCACAGATTTAACTTTTCCATCAATGTAAGAATAATATTTTCACACAGATTTTTGCTATTGCCACCAACTGACCAAAATTTAGGTGTATGAGAAATCCAGGGGTGTAATACACAGATCAAAGAAAAGGGTCTGATCATTTCATAAAACCTGACTTGCTCGAGAGAAGAGGGAACAGCTAATTTAGTTTACATTATTAGATAACACAATATTGAAGGAAAGAAAATGACCATCATCTTCACTACCCATACCTTTTTTTTTTTCCTCGTAGTGTTCAATAGAAGTCATTCCTCGTTCCACGCTCTGATGATGACAATGATGACGTCTCCACACATAGCGAAGGACAAACCAATTCGGTTTTGCCACTGGCTGCCTGCCGATGTGTCAGTCCCGGTTACTGGCTGGCAGACAATGGCGACTGTGGCGGAGGTGCGCCTGGGTGTGATGCAAAAGAGTGAAATGAAATCACACAGAAGGCTGTAGCTGCAGCTGTCTCCCTCTTTCAGGAAAGATTAATGTCAGAGTCCCCCGAAGCCTTTCATTCACCTCCACTTTTAATGAATGAATGTAGCTTTTAGTAGTCTGCTCTTTTCATCCTGCTGTCCGTCAGTGTGTAATACAAAGCCATGTCTGAAACCGGGCAGCTGACAGCTGAATAAAATATTTCCTGTTTTAGCAACTGTGTTAGAAACAAGCTGCATGTATTTGTACAGCCAGAGGCGAATAGGTATAGATTTCAAGTCAGTGTGAAAGAATCATTTTCTATCTTTTTCAGCCTTTTCCTACGTCATTGTTATTTTCTGCTATTTCCTTAATGATGGGCATTTAATTGGAATGAGCTTCTAACACTTGATTGCAACACTGATTATTTTTTCTCTCTGTGCTAAATCAATTCATGGAGCTTTTCTGCATCACAACGTTTCCTGTGGTTTCTCCCATCTTGGCTGATCGCACTGCACTTTTCTTCACCTTACTTTTGATATATAGATTTTACTTGTAGATTGGCAGCACAACAAAATTTAAAGGCACATTTTTCACAGCAAATATCATCCCAAGGCACTTTACAAGACAAGCTGGTGCAATTTGTTTCATGGAATCAAAATTTTCATGAAAAAACAAATCAATTTTGCTCAATCCAATCCAATCAGCTCCCATTACACACAGTCTAGTTTGACCCCCGCTGTTTTATTCCTCCGTTTGTCAAAGTCAGTCGACCATATAATACCAATTAGTAAAAAGTTAATTATCCAGGAAAATCATGCAGATTTCCTCATGTCAATTGTTCTGCAGCAATTTTTTATCCAGAGCAAGCATGTGGTGGTGGCAGGGCAAAGAAACAATCACCCTTTGAAGGGACAAAATCGCCACCAAAGTTTTGCTTACTTTGAATGAGAGGACAGATCAGGCAGAGAAAGCAGACATAGCTTCACTTATCTAAGATGACATTTTTATTAAAAGAATATCAGCCTAAATTGAGTTAAAGTCCCTAAAAGTTTGTCTCAGAAAGAAGCAAAGTTAAACTTGCAAGCACTAAAAAAACAGTCTGATAGTGAACAAATAGTCAATGGCAGCATGAGGTATTGCAGCAGTTTCATCCAAGACAGAGAACAGAAGCTACACAATTATGTGGCAAAGTGCATCTCAGCAGTCTGGGGGAGAAAGAAAGGTTTGTCAGTTCAGCTTAAAAATGTGAAATTGAGATCCAAATACCACTTTTACAATCTTATTGCGCTGTATGACGCTTGGAAGTGGAAAATCTTGTGGTGCCGGAAGGCAAAGTAGACATAATTTGATTAATGTTTGACATTAATTAATCAAGGAGCTAGTGGGAGATTTTAAGATTTCATGAGGTCCCATAATTTGCTCGACGACCAGCTCACCACCCAATCCCGGTTGGCTGGAGTAGATGTACCGTAGATGCAGCTCAGCCAATGTGGCATGGAAGCTTGTTTAACGTTACAGCGGGTTATGATGACTTCTGGTGCTGTTTGTGAATTCCAGTATAATTGAATTCTGTCTCCATTGGGGTAAAATCCCATCGTGGTGAGGCGTTAAACCCTCTGTCTGACAAGAGGGGCGGCCTGAAAGGCATGAAGAAGACAAACATTTGACAACTCCCCTTTGTAGATGACAGAACTTGATTTGGCTTTTCTATTCAGTTAATTTGGGGGGAGAGAAGGGCACGAAAAGAAATCAATATGAGCCGCAGCAGCAGAGAGAAAAATGAAATGAGATTCACGAGAGGCAAACCAAGTTCCCACGCGCTGATAAACTACCATTCGCTCTGAATAAAGCACACTCTGGCCAGCTTCGCTTCATTCATTTATTGACAGATTGTAAACCAAGCCTAAAATAACACTTTTTTTTTTTGTTGCTGTTGTTGTTTTTTCAAACTATTTGGTCCCTTAAGGTTAAATAGGTTCGACTCAACAGTAGCTAAGTTGCTATGAAAGCTCATCACATTTCTTCCCCAAAAGAAATGAAGTTCACAAACAAGCAAATAATACAGATTTACTTTTTTTTTTTTTTTTTTTTTTTAAAGAAAGAAATTACACAAAATCTAATGGGTTACACCGGTTGAGTCTGACTCTTCAAAAGTGAATCCCGTAACATACAAAACGTCTCTGCCTTTAACAAATAATTATAAATTATGGACTTGATTATTTTTCTTTCACCTTAAGTCTGAGAAAGGATAAAGATTCTGCTTTTAAATGTGAACTCTCATGCAGTCCTACATGTGGCTATGGCACCAATGCATTTGACAGGCTACTGATTGTATACAAACACCGTTTACTTCACTTTTACAGTATCAGTCTAAATCTAATGAGGAACATTGATTTAGCCTAGCTCTTGCAATATTATGCTGGAATGCACAGCAAACTGTATCACATATATATTTTATTTTACATCTGCACGGTTTCACTCGATAAATATGGCCATTTTCTCTGTGGCTTCGAAGCTGCTGTGTCACGGATGTTTCAGGCTTTCGATGTGTAGGGAAAGCAGTTGTCCTTCTGTTTCACAAGAAAGCTTTTATCCTACTGGTATATCGTGTTACCCCCTTGCTGATGACATCAAATATTAGGGCCATAATGGTTCAATATGCATGTGGCGTGAGTAAAAGGAAAAAGCAGTAGTCATAAGGCTCTCCGGTCTCTCTTATTTGCTTTCACCTCCATTCATCTCAGTCAGGGAAGGAATTCAGCTTTGCAATAAAAGAAGACTCTCTTCATGCAGAAGGAGAAGATATAATCTGGGCAGGCAGGAGAGAGGTATTATCATCATCATCCAACGTAAAGAGCCCTTTACATTTACTGCAGGGCAACAGCCTCAGAGGATGAGATGACAGAGTTGGGGAATGCAACCCTCCTCTTATTGTTAATATTATTCTTAATATCTATCCCCGTCATCTGCAGTGATCCCTTGCCTCCGTATTACAAAGGCAGGGATTTCTACAGCCCATCTGAGAAAAACTTTACGAGCAAAACCAGTTAATGATCAAGCTGACAAAGGTGCTTAAGATTAATGACGTACTGCAGTGCGTCCTCGCTTTACTCCTAATAAATAATCACTTTTTTTTTATTTTATTTTACTCGAATGGCAGCTCTTGTGTCCTGGAATTGCACACAAGTACTCAATCGATTTGATTTTTGTTCAGTTCAATTTTGAAATAAGTTCTTTTTTGTTTTGTTTATTCAGCAAAGGAAACCCAATAAGAACAGCGGCACGGACAGATCAAGTTCAAACTTCCCATTTTTTTTTCCAGATAAAGTATACATTACCCAAAGAGCCACCAACTCCAGAGCATCCCTAAATCTTTTGCTCCAGATGCTTTTGGTGTGAGCTACTGAAATCTGACTTGCATATTCAGCAAATCCCACTGGTGACAGACTGGACAGAAATGTAGGGAATTCGGAGGCCAAATTATGCATAAAACTTCCTGTTGTACATGGTCTACCTTGGTATGTGTGTTGGTTTGGCTCATACAGTCTGGCCTTCACTCCAATGTGCATGAATTAGCTACTTCCCCATTGCCAACTGACATCCTTGGACCACGTTTGACAGATACTGATGCTTACTGAACAAAAGCTGAAGATTTGGAAACACAATGACCCCCTTTCTCAAGACACCAGTTTCCCCCAGATCAAATTCTTTCCAACCCGTCAATTGTTGGGAAGCTCTTCACTTACTGCCTGTTTTCCATACAGTGACATATGTCATGATGAAGATATAATCAGCACAGTTTTAATTACTTCTTCATATTCTGCAGAGGCCGCTTTGAAGTTTTTTTCTTTTCACACCACCTGCCAGAGGTCACAACATTATGATCAGTGCACGCTGAAAGGTAGAGCATGTTTTTGAGAGCTTAGCGTGGTTTTGAAAGATTTCTCTCAATAAATACCCATCATGTTCAGTAGCTTTTATGTAACTGCCTAAAAGATAGCCGTAAACCTGTGAACAAAAAGGTCTGTTTTTCCTGCCAAGACAGAGACACGTGGTGTCAGTGCTGAGCCAAGTGCTAGGAGCTTATTGAGTTCTTACAGGTACACCTCGCACAGTTTTGAAATTGTTCTTTCATCTGTCCAGGTGTTCTAAAACGCAGAAGTACCCATTAAGTAAAACAAAAAAAATAAATAAATAAATCAAACAAGAAATCAGCAACAAAGTTGAGGAGTGGACTCAGCAAAGATAAATTTGAATAGGTTCCCTTCAAAAGATAGATTGTACAAGAAATTTACCTCATCTCAGAGAAAGTTGTGAGCTCGCTGATTTAAACAACCAGTTTGAACCTTTTCTTGCGAGGTTTAAAGTGACAGAGAATCAACGAGCATGGAGATTAATTTGCCTGATATGGTCCTGACAACAATAATCAAAATTTGAATCCTTCATTTAGTTCAACTAATTATGACAGGCAGCAGTTCAAGAGCTTTTCACTTGTCTAATAGCACCTGGTTTCACAGTGGATCAGTGAGCAGAGGCTGAACGCGCGTTCAGCTTCAGGTACTCTAACTGGAAAGACATGATTGGCAACACAAACTGAACCCAGACATAGAAATAGCCAAAAAGGATACAGTTATCAGTAAAGCAGGAAGGATGTTTTGACATGTTTCTCAGCTTATCTATCGTTTTCCATAATCGATCATGTTCGTTTGGAAACTGCAAAATGTGAACATGAAACACATTCAAAATGCTTATATTGAGTAAATTTCTTTTGGATCTCTTGGTCTGCAGGCTTAATTTGTGGACTGGTTCAACATGTAATTTGTATGTTTCATTTATGGCTCTAGATTTCACCACTCAAGCCATGCACAAAAGAACACAAACTAAAACTAATACAAATTGTGTATGAGGAAAAGTGAGGCTGACAATGTCGATGACTGGAGCCCTGCTACACTGGGCTGTGGTCAGGGGAGGCATGTGCGGCTGTTACGGTTACACACTCTGAGGGTGTGTCCTTGGTCCGGCGAAGGGCCATGTACAGCCTCTCGTCCAGGTTAGAAGTCAGCTTGTCCGCGAGCTCTGCTGTGATAGTTTGAGGGCCGTAACCAGAGGAGTTTGGCGGGTGAGGAGGTGAGCGCTCGTCCGGGGGTTCAGGAGGGTGTCCGCATTGTTTGCTATCCTCCTGAGTCTCAAGTTGCTCAACCAGCCCTCCATCTTTTTCAAATAACGAGGGCTCAACGGGTGGAAGAGAGGAAGATGTGCGTTCCTCTGAATCTGTGACCGTAAGTTTCTCGTTCCTCAGTTCAGACTCAGTAGATGTTGGCTCAACCTTTGGGGTGTCAGGAGTGCTGCCAGCTCCATCGCTGGTCTCCTCGTCAGGTGCACTGACGATGCGGGGCAGTGTGCTGTGGTAGCTTGTGTCCAATGGGTAGTTTACACTTTCTCCCCTCCGCAATGGGATACGGTGTCTTTCAAAGGAGGACTGGAAGTGTCTGACTCCGGGGTCACTCCACTGTTTGTGGCGCTGCCACTGCTTACGAAGGTGAACGCGGGAGCGGTGTTTTCTTGGCGACTCCTGGAGGTCAAACTGAGGATCGTGGCGGAGGAACTCGTGGAAGAGTGCATCTGTTTTTTCGTCTATGCTGTAGTCACGCCGATGAAGGGTTACTGGTTGAGCTGGAGGTTGCACAGCCTCTCGAGGGTTGAGCATCTGACCATATGGCAGCCAGCCTGAAGAACTAGCACCTATTTCCATGGGAACTCCTCCACTGGCACCCAGCAACAACTCATCTTCAGATTCCTCTTCAAAGAGATGAGACTCGAAACTCTCACCGATAGTGCCTGTTCGCCCCGCATTGGTGAAATGATGTCTTTTCTCGTGAGCAGTTCTGTCTTTAGGGCTGTCAGTGACGCTGCTGCTGCTGCTAAACAGCCTCAGGTCCTCTGGACCTCGTGACGGAGCCTCTATTGACGCATACCCGCTGTCCATCTGTAACAGTTTACGAGTCCCTGATTCTCCATCACTACCCCCACGCTCTGATTCTGTGCTACCATGTTTTCTCTTTATTGACTCTTGCATACCCAGCTTCCCATCTGAATACACAAAGACGTCCTTGTCTTCCTCTCCACCCTCATCACCTACGTCCTGGGACGGGTAACTGGGAAGCCCTCCTCTGTCAGCATCCGCGCGTACGCTCAGCGAGCAAACACTGTCAGCATCGCTGCAAACCGAGTTCCTGTCGTTGTTGCTGCTCTGGTCAGAGGCAGCGTACTGTTCTAGTGATGCACGTAGTGTCCATATGTCTCGGTAAAGTGACTGTGAATCCTGGGGTTGGAAGGAGTCTGAGGAGTAGCCGCCTTCAGTCCTCACCACAGATAGGGTCTCTTCCTGGGGATCAGGGGACAAGCCAATCACCCCTGGTCCGCCATGGCTGCAGCTGGGCTCCACCACCACCTCTACCTCTACCCTGCAGTGTGCACACAGGGGTTGGGAGACAAAATAAAACACAATAATAAAATAAAATGGTAGAAATAAGGACACCGGTGCAACACAAGTGTCATTGTCAGAGCATTGACCTGAGGAACATTACTGTGTTCACAGAGCACAGAATGATTTTTATGACTTGCAATGGCTGCTGCTGAATGTCCTCTGAGAGCCAAATCTTTGAAGCCACAGGAACTAATATTCTGCTGTCGGGGTTTGAAAAAAAAAAAAAATCTTCCAAGAAGAATAAATCCACTTGAGTAACTGAGCAAGAGGCTCATAAAACAATTTTGCTCATTGCGGCTTCCGAGAAGTTAATTACATATTACCCAATATCATCAAGCACTCACAGGAAACATTAATGTTTATATGTTTATTTAATGTTCAGCACTAGCAATATCAAATATTATATACTGAGCAGTTTTTGCTATATGAAACTAAAATTATATAATGAAGATATAAAGTTAGAAAACAATTTAATGTCTGAGGACCTTGTGAAATCACCCAGCCATGTCAGCAATGGAATGGGTTTTTATGCTAGAAATAAACTCTGTGTCCCAATTCTCCACACCACTCTCAGGGGAGGGAGGAAGGGAAGAGCACTCCGGGAATCCCCAACATCCTGCTTAAAACATGAAATCGAGTTTAAAAGACCTCTTGTTTACTGAACTTTGTCACACAAGTGGCTAGATTGTGGCGAAATCGCATCTTCACAGTAAGTCGGTGTGGCATGAGGAACTGATTACATCTCACAGAAACAAAAAGATCAAGAACACTCTGTCATTTTTTACCCAATTTTTAAAATGAAGACTTAAGCTGTGAACTTATAGCAGATATTTCTGTAGGGTTAGGAGGTAGGTTAGATGAAATATGGAGCGGGCTGAAACTGGATTGTAAGAGGGAGGAATTCATGGATGGATGATGGCTGGAGACAGTGTATGGAAAATGACTGAATGCTTCTGAATGGATAGTTTATGGATAGACAGATGGATTGTTTGATGGATAGGTGGATAAACATAATGATTGCTGGACCTACGTACATGTCTGTCGCAATAAGCAATGAATCAAGTTATTGCATGAAAAATTAAAATGAGCTTTCTAATTTCCATTCTGATGATTGATATAATGAAAGGCAGTTTTGTTTTTAGAGACGTTATCCATTTAGTTTGTGTTTCGGTTATGTGTGATTTTTATTTCTGTTTTATTTGTTTTTGGTTGCTGTGTTTCATTTTGGATATTTAGAATATCTTCCAATTTCAATTTTTATTTTTATTTTTTACCAAATTAGTTTATTGGTCTTTGAGAGAGAAAACTTGCATTCTTATGCCATTATCAATAGTTTACTTTAAAATGGTCTTGAAACAATATTATCATTTATTGCAATAATTACTGGGCATGAGAAATTTCTTATCATCCACACATCAGGCATCGATGTGTGATTGACTGAACTGCTTTTTGACTGGGAGAAATGAAATAAAACCTGGAAAACACTTGGATCAAACTCCCCCTTTTTTTTCCAGACCGTGTAGACGTTCGCGTCTCACTGGTAGCCTTGTTTGGTCGAACAAGTTTTTTAAAGAATTTACTAGACAGATTAGTGAGGGAGTATTGAGACTCAGAGTTTAGGTTTTCTGCACAGTGTTACCATAGCTTCTCTTGTTGCAGTAAAACATGGTTGCAAGGCAGCAAAGCAGTGAACGGGATGAATGGCAAGGGAATTAAAGATACCTGCCGAGGGAGGGGGGTGGTGTGGATGGGGGTGACAGGAGGCGTGTGGTGGGCTGGCTCTGATAGTAGGGGACATCCTGGGTGCGGGCAATGTACTGGATGAGGTCTATGTGGTGAGTGTCGTTGTCGTCCTGGTCCATGCTCTCGCTGGCGGCTCGCTGGCGTTGGAACTGCCGCCGCTTGGGAGAGCCTGGTACGCACCAAACACAAAGAAAGAGGAATGAGTTTGACGAGCCTTGAGACAGCAGGAGCCAAGTTACACTTAATTCAGCTGAAAGCCCTGTCCGACTGTTTGGGATTTTGTGATCTCTTTGGAGCAAAGACAGAAGAGCATTGGGACGAACCAGTGGTAGCGTGTGTGGTAGATGAGGTGAGCGGCAGGGAGGATTAAGTCAAGGGCTCAAAATGATTTGGAACAACCAAACTTTACGTCATTGAGCCATCTGTCTTGTATGCTTGTGTGTTTACATCTAGCTCAGGCAAAAGGCGGCTCACAGTTGGTTGCTGGAGCTCCCTGCTAACCCGTTGTCTGTTTACCATGAGAGAATGTTGGCAAAGACACAAAATAAGAAATAAATCTACAGAGAAAAAAAAAATCAACAAGAAAACAATGAATGATGGAACAGAAAGAGTATCAGAAATAACCTCTTGTGTCCAGGCTGGATGCTCTTTGGCTGCTGTCCAGCTTCCACTTTTTTATTTTGAAGTAGGGGCTGGCCCCCTCCAGACTAGCATGGCGCCGAAGTTTGGTGAGAAACTGCAAGACGGGCCTCGGACTTCCCGCGATGCCACCGGCGGGGCCCACACCACTGTTCCCCATCATCGGCGCTGCCTCTCCTACGCTGACGCTGCTGCCCCTGTCCCGGGGCCTCGCTCGCATCATCTCAATCTAAGCAAAGACACGGAGATGTGGTCATGCGCAAAACTCTGCCCACAGCAGTAGTCTGAGTGGAAACCTCTCTGACAGTCCGTCTCTAACGTAGTGTTCCCACGTTTACCCTTCAACCATCATTCTTTCACGCCGTATGAGCGCTAATCTAATGTGTGCAGAAATGTCTTTAGGTGCAAAGTCTGGCCGGAAATGCACCACTTGACAAGTGATTCATCTTTGCATCGTCATGAACTTGGTAACATACCTCATTCTAAGACAGTAGTTATAGCCTTACTTAGTACTTTCTGTTAAATTGCAGGTTTGCTCCTCGATTTGATTTTCGGTAGCATTACTTACAGAGCTGGAGGTCGGCTTCGTTGAGCCGAGAGCTGCAGAGTTCTCACAGAAGCTGGTGTCAACCACAGAATTGAGAGCATCCCCAGGGAGGGCACAGCTGGGATTCACACTCAAACTGATCAGCGGCGTTTGTGGCAGGGGGCAAAGCATTGGCTGAGAAGGGAAGGACAAACCAAAACAAGGACTTGTTTTGTCATCAGATGTTTTAGGCTTCATCTGATGACAATGTGGCTTTTTGGAAAAAAATTGTAAAAATCCAATAAAATCATACAGAAGAATTGTAGTCTCTGACCTGGAATATGGAAAGAGCTGATTTAGCCACAGGACGGGTCGTTGATGTGATGGTGTTTTCAGCCGAGTCACATTCGTGAATCGTGACGATTTTGAGTGCCGGCGGGGGGATGTTGAGGTTTGTGAGCCGTGCATTCTTCAGGTGGTGGAAATCGCCTTCGGTCAGAGTGTACCTGAGGTGCACAGGTGAAAGTGCGTTTGCAGCAGAGTAGGTGCAGTCCCTTCCAAAGGCACCATCACCCTTGTCAAGTTGTAACCAACAGCTAGCCACATGAAGTAGACAATAGTAAAGTGAAAGAAAAATTCAAATGCTTCTCTAATTAAAGAGGAAGATCTGAAAAGTGTGGAATGGATTTAATTTTGTTCAGTCCATCATTTGAGAATGAAAAAAGTGTGACATAATTACAAACCTAAGAAATAAATTGATAAGCTTGACAGAGAGGGCTAATCAATTCATTTTGCAATTCTGACTTTATTGGAAGAGGGAAAAAAACTGTGTTAAAATAACGTCACAAGACGTTGGACATAGTGAACTGTTTACATTCTTTGATCTGAGAAAGCAGCAGTCATTTCGTGCAAGAGTCGAGTGCTGAACGAAAAGCAAAAATCTCTTTTCAAATATTTGTGTGTGTGTGTGCGCGCGCACGCTTGCTAGCTGACCTGCGGCCCTTCTCCTGGGTTTTCTTGCCATGATCAAAGAGAGCAGCTTCATTGAAGGAGACCCGGCGGCCTGTGGGGCCGGTGGACAGGAAGCGCTCTGTCTCTTGGTTGTGAGAGCTGGCCATGGACAGGCAGTCTGACTCATCCACCCTGATAGTGATTTCTGACCAAATGTAAAGAGACAAAGGGAAGTCAGAGAGACTCAGATGTTCAGGCTGATAGACGAAGAAGAGTTTTAATAAAAGATGAAAAGGAGATGGATGAGTAACTATACAGTAATACACTCAAAGTGACTGGTGGGTCAGGAGGTTCATCAACATTCAACATGCCCCCCCCGAAAAAAAAAATCGAAACCCAGTTACGCTGTCTTAAACTTAAGTTAATGAAGTTTCTAAATGCGTTTATAATGAACTGGTGCCAAATCATTTCCTGTGTTCCTGTGTAATTTCACAATGTATTTTCAAGTCAAATCACAGGTGCTAAAATGAACGATTTCTTTGCTGTCTATACTTTTTATGACCTTTTTCAAAAGGTAAAGCTCCTGCAACATTTCACAAGGTTTGAGCATACTGTGCAGATTGTCTAGAGATTGTCCTTAATTGGTGGCTTCGGTGTAGCTGACCCCTATAGTTTATTTTATAGAACTTAAATCTTAGTGTGGCTGGTCATGGAAAAGGGTTGATTTTTGGAAGCAAGTATAATTTATTTATATAACAAATGAAAATTGCAAGCGCTTCACGGAAAGACTGCAAATATTAAAGCAACCTCGAATTACATTTGTAACAAAAAAGGAGAACAGCATAGAAATATGAAAAAAAAACACTGATTTTACACATGGATATATACTTTGGAAAAGTATTATGCTAAAAACTTTGTTTTAGATCAGGCTTCCAGATTTTTGGTTCATTTGCTCTGATACCTTGAACAGGTCTGGAGGCCACATCATGTCAAATCTACTTAGCTTTAGCTTTTTATCGTGCCACAATGTTGTTTCGAAACATAACTGGAGTGTTTGTGTGTTCATGCGTGTTTGAGAAATTCTCTTGGCAGCCATTTTTCAAATGTGTGCTATGTGTGTGTTTATGTATTAGAGAGAGTTTGCGTGTGGCCTCTGAACTATTTTTCTGGTGTTTAAATGGTTTTATCATTTACGGATCAAAAATGACCCATAAGACAATCCTTGTATCATAGTGCTGTGCATCCCACATAGAAATATAAACAGCAACAAAGTGTAACTTTTTCTAATGATGGGATCCATTCAGGAAAAGTCATAACATTTCAAGTTGGAAAAATATAGTTCAGGGTATTTTTTTTTCTACAGCTAAACATGGTAGTGGGTCACTCAGTTCCATCAGAGTCAGTTCCTCCTTTTTAGAATCTGTTCATTTATCCCTTCTTCCTTTCTGCATCCCCATCTTACCATGGGTGGGCTGAGACTCCTCCATATAAGTGGCAGTTTTCTCGGGGTCATTGTCGGCCCTGGGATTGAAACACAAGAGCAGATTATTGCTGTGACAGAGTTATCCACAAAGTTTCTGACAATCGAGACACCAAGCCATTCAATATAACTCTGGCTGTTTGTTTAATGTTGTTTATCTCCTGGGGGAAGACGCTGTACCCCAGTTTGAAGTCTTCTGTTGCATCAAACGGGTTTTCCTTCAGGAATGCTCCTCAGTTGCCAGCTTCTCTGTACTTGCTGATAAAACATGTTCCCACATGACTACACTACCACCACCAGATCACAGGCTGTAAAGTATCAATGCATGTCACCCTGTTCAGATACCCATTTGGTTTAAAAAAAATCATCCAGTTAGTCACTGCAAGTGATCAACTTCATTGTGGAGGTGTATCTGCTCAAATCCATTGCAGGTAAAACTCATATTGAATTCTGTACTATCAGTACGACAGAACTTTTACACCTACTCACCAGTTGCTCTGCGTTCTTTCTCAGCAACTTTATTACACATTTGGGATATTTTCTTAAAACCCTCTCTGTTTTATCACCCTTATTAGCTGCTGATCCTCTATAGTGCCTCCTAAATCCCATGCAGAGGATTTGCTTGATGAGATGAGAGGAAAAAAAAGAAAGAAAAAAAAGAAACCAAAAGCTCTCCCTAGTCGTTTTCCTCCATTTTATTTCACTGTGCAGGGCTGAAAGCTGCATGCATGTGCTTGTGTGGGTGTGAAGTAACTGGAGGGACATCTCCATCCACCCAGATATGTGCTTCTTCTCCTTGTCTTTCATTTCCTCTGTAGCTCCTGCTTTGCCGTACGTCTTGCGGGTCTAAAGTGTGATTTGGTGACTTTGTGTGCGTGTGCATGGAGTCTCTGCACAGTGCTGGATTGAGACGCAACATTAATCACCGCCGATGGCTGCTATGAAATCTCATTACCCTCATCATTTGTACCAGTCGGCCCGATTCTCGTTTTCACGCCTCAGCCTGTGTGCTCGCTGTTTATCTGCACCTAGAGCTCTCGTGTGCTCGTGTGTACGAGGTTGTGCGTGTGCCGCCGTTAGACGGAGCCACAGAATCCGAGGGGTGAGAATGGCGGGGGGTGGGGCGGTGGGGAGTTCTGGGGGAGGAGAGGCCGGCGGGAGAGGGAGGGGTCAGCCATTTCTGCAGTGAATAAACACAGATGATTCACAGATAAATAACCGTGAATACTGAAAGTGCCTCCAACAAGGTGTTTTCATAACAGCACCACAGGAGGTCCTGACATTCAAGCAGCAGCCGTGTAGAATGAGTGAGCACGCTGCGCTGTCATGCTTTAACATGCTTACACGTCTCTGTAGGCTCGCAATCCTGCAAGCAATAACAATCCAGCAATGAAAGCATATCGGTAAAGGCTTTTTTATTATTATTATTTGCACTGCAGGGACTGTCAAAGCTTTCTACACCCCTGATCTGATATTGAAAAATTACATCTTCTTTTCTTTTTTACATTCTACGTGCATTCTGTAATATTTAGCTAAAGCACTATTTTATTAGAAGAAAAAGTAAATAAATAAAGTTACTGTAATAATCCAGTAGCATAAGAAGCTATATTTTAAGCAAACATGTTGATTGAGTTTCATCGCTGAGACGCTTCCCCACATCATTGCCACTTGAACTTTGCCAATATTTTCCAAGTCCATCCTACTGTTAGGTCGTCTCCTGTTCAGAGTCTTCCATGAGAGAGCAGGGAGACCTTCTGCCAGATTCAGTTTTTTGAAATTTTGGCTACAATTATCTAATTTTGTTGAGTTGCGTACGAGCTGTGGCTTAGTGTGATGCTGGACAAATAAATTCCTCTCCATACTTATGCATAATACAGTCACCTACAAGCTTGGGGTCAAAACTAACTAGAATTAAGAAGTGAAGATAATTTCATAACTGGACAAAAAGTCCAATTCGAACTGAGCAACAACAACAACGACAGAAATAATTCAGACTATCAGTCCACAGAGGATATGATGTTCTTTAGAAGATGCACTGTGTTATTTCTTTTCAATCTCAAACATACCTTGAAGAAAAGTGGACAAAAACATAAACTTGGATTAAACAGACAATTACACATTCTTCAAAATAAAGTTAGATATTTTAGCTGAGTAACTCTTAATTTACAAAAACAAATAACGAATACAGGTGATTGCTACCACACATAGAGCACAACCTCTACTTGCTAGTTTTCAGTCTTCGTTTTGCCTTCTCCTGACTGATACCTTTGTACATTCGATCCCTTTTACTTTTTGCAACCTCTCTGAAAACCCTGGTGTAGTCGAAGGATGCAAATAAGTATTTAAGACTCGATATTGCAGTTCAAACCAAAGGTCCAAAATAGTTTTTGTCTTAAGATTCCCGTTTTATTTTCCCCTCCAAAATGTTTGTTTTTCAGTTGAATTTATTTGAAGTATATAGGATTTATGTCACATAAAAAATAAATTTTAAAAAAATGAAAAATTTTTTTGAAATGATCTCATGCAATTATGCATTTGCATGAGAATTTTGGTGTTTCAATACTTCTGGAATCTGCTGTATGTCTCACTTGTTGCTTGTTCCACATCAGTCTTGTTACATCCATTTTGCAATTACGATCAGCTCCGTAATGGGTCAATACATATTAGGTCTAACGCCAGACTCTCCTTAAATGTTCAGCAACAGGAGAACGTCAAGAACTTTCCATGTGCCTGGATTTGTAGCCTAACCTGCAGTCTTGCCTCAAACTGCATGGATTGAATTTTAGGGAGTTTTCTTATGTGCAGCAGAGTATCATAGTAGGTTTGATGGGGATTGGTGGGTAGATAACCGAGACATTTGACAATAACATAAAATATAACAACAATCAATACAACAGCCCTTTCCTACGGCCTCAACCTCAGCAGCAGACTTCAATCAGGCTCGCTGAAACACGGTCAACAAAAAGTGAGCACTGAGGGGCTTTATGAGGTTACCATTTATTACTGTGCTCTTGTTATTAGATTATACAGCTGCTGCTTTTATTATGTTCTTTGCTTTTATCAGTTAAGTCTGTCGGTCTCATGTCATTTCAAGGTTCATAAAACTTCAGAGGAGGGGGCTTAAGCAAACGGCGGAGCCACGGTGTTTCGATGCCGCACCTGTCACAGAAGCGCCCTCCTCGGCAGCAGCGGCAGCAAACGACGAGGAAGACAGAGATGCTGACCAGCGTTCCTACCAGAAAGACAGAGAGGATCACCAGGAGGAGCACGTAGCCATCCGGCTGCTCCTCGGGCTCAAGTGGGATCTCCTGAGGTAAAAACACAAAACGGAACAGATGTGTTAAAATGACATCTTTGCCTTTTATAGGCTAGACAATGCTGCTTGTGTCCGTCTGAAACAAATCAACTTTAGAGGGGAAAAAAGTTTATGTTTTAAGTAATGTCACACATTAACAGGCACAGCAGCTTGTAAATCCTTACTGTTGCCAGTTAAAATTATGTTGATTCATATTTTTCTGCACCGCATGTCTTTGTAGCAAACTGTCGCTTAAGGCCTGAACGGTGCTTTTTGAGGTTTTTAAACAGATTGCACTTAGTGTTTGGACTGATAAACTGTTACGGGTTTGAGGAGCTCTTCCGCTAGGAGGCAGCATGATAACGTAAAAAAGTGTTATCGTATGAAAAATTTTAAAGACACAACATAATTTATTTGGCTTAAGCCAGAAAAGCAACAGATGTTGCTACAGTTGCTTAAATAATATTAGGACATATTGGTTGTAAGAGACATAATCATGTTACATGCAACAGTGTTTTGTTTTGTTTTGTTTTGGTGGGTTGTTATCTTCATTTTTATTTTTAATCATCGTTATTTTGCGCTGATTTTGTTTTGTTGTAGATTGAACAAAATCTACAGCTCATCCTGCTTCAAGGACTGACACTGTGCCATTCAGATTGATGAAAAGAAAATTAGTGTCACATTAACATGGTTACAAAGGACGAGTTTCATCATCTGGAGAACATTGCCAGAGAGCAGCTCCGCTACAAAAAAGGCGAGGTTTTTCTAAAATGCAGAAGAGGAGCAGAGGGAGGGCTTACCTCAAGCTGGCATTTAAAAACTCTGCTCAACCGGCTTGTGTATTTTAGTATTATAGGAAGGTGTTTCATACTTTACTGGAGATATTAATATGTTATAGGTCTGACCTATCACTTTTAGAAGCCTTCTAGACTTCCGATGTCTTCAGAGAAAGTTCCTCTCTTACTGCTTATTATTAAATCTTCAACTCACAGTGAGGCATCATTCATTAAATACAGACATTTGGAACAACGGTCCCAAAGACCTGAGTAGAGATTTATAGTATTTATGATTTTAAAAGCAATTTAAAGACTTTTTCTCCTTGTTTTTGGTTACAGTTGTGTAGTTATTTTTAGTGCATAGTAGTAACTGATTACATTTTAGTTTACTGTATGACCATTTGGCTCTATTGCATTTTTAATTTGAATTCACTGCCTTTGCCTCATGAAAAAAATTTATTTTTAGTTGAGCATTTTTTTTGAATGCAATTGTTTGTATATAGATTATTTTTCACGTCTGTGTTTTTATTTGCTCTGTTTATATGCAACGTTTTGCAATGTCCTATAAGTTCAGTAAGACAGCGGCCTGCCTTCTGTAGGCAGTGCATATTTTTATGTACAAAATATAACTTTATGGAAGTTCTCTGGGATAACAGAACTTGTCTTCTTAATTTCACTCACCAAAACTAAACTATACATTGATATTTTAGCTAGCGAGGAGCAACCATGTAGCTTTGCTATTTTCTGAAAAGTAAGCTCGAAGTTGACAAGCAGATGCTAACCTTCAACTTGCACAAAATTGTTTAGTTTGCAACATGAGAAGCTTTAACAATAGAGCCGATTTACGGCTGCTTCCCCCGTAACAGCAGCAGCATGCAGTTTAAAAGATTGATTTTAAGCCCACCGGTTGGTTGGCTTGCATATACTAAATCTATATATACAACTGTCTGAATGATCAATAAACTCCAGGAACTATTAACCTGTCTAAGATTCATATTAGCAATGGGAGAAGGAGTACAGCTGAGGGCATAACCCACACACGAGCAGCACAGGTGGACACCTCAATTAGCAGCTTTTTGTTTCGCACGCATTTAAAGAAGGAGGACAAAACAATTCCAGTTTAATCCCAAAATCATCACGGTCCTTTAATTATTTTCCTCTGGAGTTCTCTATGCTACACTACACTCTTAAATTTCTGGATAAGTGCATTAAAATACTTTAATATAGATGTCCAAATGTGCCCATAAAAAGCAGAGACATCATAAAACTGATACATTTTTCAAATACTTGCATTCACAATGAATTCTGAAGTCTAAAGGACAAACAAGATCTAAAGTAAGAACATTAAGAGTGTAGATAAAGCAATGCTGCGCTAAAGAATCTACCAAAGTCTGTTTTCTTGCATTATATGTAACATTTCCTCTTTGTTCAACACAACTTAGTGACAAAGTCGTGGAGTCAGTAACACACAAAGGGGCTACTGAAGAACCTCTTTGTGTCTCTAGAATCATGGCAAAGTAAGAGAAATGTAAAAATAATATATAATTACTTGTGGTATTCTGCAGAAACCCACAGCATACAGAAGATCATTATCTCAGCAATTATGAGAAAGACTTCCCAACATGATTATAGCTCACAGCTAATAAAAATCTGAATTTCATAACTCGGAAAATTTACGTAACAATGACTTTTTTTTCTTTTCAGAAATGTATTAACTCAGTTTCTGCACTCTATATTTGATTGGGAGCACTTTTGCATAAATTACAAAAGCGGTACTTTTGTCAGGATGGGCAGGCATTAAGTTCTGCTAGAAAATGAAACCAGAGCTTCTGGTAAGGAGAGGGAAGCGTGAAGTGCAATAAACTTTCCTGGTAGGTTGAGAAAACCTCAGTGAACCAACACGAGAAGGTGACATGGCATTCTAAGTTTGACTGTGGAAACGTCACATTGGACCGAAAGAAACTTTGATTTGTGGATCGCCACTCTTCTTCCAGACTGCGGGGCATTGGGAATGCCCCCACTGTAAAATGACAAATTCTCTTTTATCTGAAAATTGGACTTTGGACCGCCGAGCAACAGTTCAGACGTTTTTCTTTTGAGCCGAGGTGAGATGCTTGTGACATTGACTCTGGTTCAGGAAATGCAACGGCTGCAGGTCAGGCCCTGGATACTGTATGTCTCCATGTGGTGGCCCTTGAAGTGCTGACTGCAGCTTAAATCTATTTCTTGTCAATCTCAGCCAACCACATAAATAAGCTTTTGTTCTAGTTTCTTTTGCACCATACTTTTTCCTGCCTTTTAGCTCCCCAATAAAATTCTTGTCTTCTGTCTCCCTTATTATTTGTTTATTTTAGAACCTGACGATTGAATAAAATTTTTTATATAAGGCACCCATCTATTGATTTTATGTAACATTTAAAACTTACTTTTTATTACCTATGTCAGGATTCTCAAAAAATTAACAGAAATAATTGTCAAAATGAAAACTACCTAAGAGTTTCAGTTGCTTTAGAAAACAAAAACCTCACTTTTTAAAGGATGCTTTCATTATTGAGGTCCACTTGTGTAAGACTTTTGGATATCAGACTGACAATCTTTCAGCTCAGTAAGAGACAACACAACAAGTGTTAATGTCTGACGTCACGCCATAATTTCTCTGCAAAGGGAAATTAAAGCTGAGATTAGATCAGAGATTTAATTATATCAGACCCAGATCAGGATGTTCTCTATTAGCCAGTCAATCGACCAGAAGAGAATATGAGGGGAAAGTATGGCTCTGGTGCTGACCTGCGCACAACACACACAGACATGCGCACGCGCGTTTGACAGGAAGTTTGAGAACAAAGTTAGTGGCGAAAAGCAGACTTACCGTGGAGTTTTCTGGTAGGATGTTCCAGACGGTAGACTCATTGCTCATGGTCCTAGCCAGCTAAAGAGTCCCCCTGAGAGACAACACAAGCACACAAAGGCACAAAGGAAGCGCCTGTCACTGGAAGTCAGTCACCAAATGTGCTGTTTTGTCCAGGGTAAAAAACCCAGGCATGTCAGCCAAAAGCAAGCTGACAGAATTGTGTTTATTACCTCCCTAGAATGTAACTGGCTGCTATAATTTGTTGATTTTAAGGCCAGATGAAAGCAAAATCTATACTGGAAACTAAGGGGGACACTGCAAAAAAAAAAAAAAAAAAAAAGGACAGAATGGGCTAAATATCTGGATTTTTGAAAGTGCCCAGGCAATGAAATGGCTTTTGTAAATTGAAGCATTAACTCTTCAGCTGTTTTGGATCAGCTTGACAACTGAATCTATTCCCCATCTATCCTCTCGCACAACAGAGAGAAACAGCAGCTCTTTCAGCACTGCTGGCTTGTATTTGCTCTTCCAGATCACACCCTTTAATACTGCTACTGCTGCATCAAACACCCACACATACACACTCACACACATACGGATGAAGCTACTCACCCAGCGAGGAAGAAGCAACATGCCAGCAGCATTCAGCTCTTCTTGTTTGCCAGTCAATCACTGCAGCACTCAACTTCAGCAACACAATTCTTTAATCTGTTACCTAGATCCCATCTGACTTCCATACACTTGTAAGCCATCTAAGAAAGAATGGTTTGCTTTGCAGTATATTGCTGCACCACATCCTGCTTTCTGCCAGCCCAGTGATCTTACCCTGATGGAGGGCAGCGCGCAGCAGCAGCAGCAGCAGCAGCGGCAGCGGCTCTGGATTTGTGTGTGTGTGTATGTGTGTTAGGCTGTATAGCTCAGGACTCTCTTCCTCAGCTCCCTTGCTGCATCCTCCGCCGACTGAGTCAGAGCAGCGGTGCTTCCCCCTCAGGACTGGCCCGCTGGCCTCGGAGCAACGGGACGAAAGCGCTGCATGTCTGGCAACAGGCAAACAAATACGAGAATTACTATGTTATTACACTGTTGACGTGACTCGGTTCCCTGTATTCAACAAACACAGTAATATAATTTTGAAGATTTCTTTTACTTCTCCTGATGACTTGGTGGAGGATTGGAACTTGATCAGCTCTGATTGGCTAATTAAATACTAAAAATGAGTTGTTGTTTTCATTATTAATATTGATGGTCTTATATCGGTGCAGTAAATGAATCAAAAGTAATAACTTGCAAGTTTTAATCCATCACTGCACCTACCAACAGCAAGTGTTTTGGATGCTTTTCTTGGTTTAATAATAAACACGAAGACTTTGATGTAAAATTTAGGACAACTGTATTTTTAAATGTATTTATTATTATTATTATTTAGCTAGCTTCATCAAAGAACCTCAAGCTGATTTTCTTTAAAGTGTTATAGTCCTCGTTGAAACAGAAATTGCGACGATGGTCGAAGCCTAAATCTTCCGGTCAATGATAAAAAATTGGCGTATCGGACAAGAAATCGATGATTGGTGCATCATCATCGCATAACCATTTTAAGTAGCTATAGCGATAACAATAACAATAACTTCCAATCACCTGATCTAAATGGTTCCAGGAATGCGATGGATGGTCACTGGTGCAGAATCTGGTGGAGCTGAAACAAACGTGAGCTGTGACGCGAGTTTGTCCAAGAACTCCCGGGTTTCTCGGTGCATGGGAGCCCTGGAAATAGCTCTGTTCATCAGTTGCCAAAGCAGATGGTGAGACGCGGGTGACCCCGGCAGTACCGCGTCCCTTTCACGCTCAAAATCTCAATTCCTACCGGCTGCATCACCGGTGTCACACAGCGCGTTTAGATTTCATCCCGTCTTTTAGCGCCAATCGTCTAAACGCCTCCAAAAAGGCAAGAAAGATTTCAAGAAAAAAAAAAAACATAAAAATGCTCGATTTCTTTGTGATTGCGTTTTTTTTCTTCTGATTGATCATTTCTGAAAGAATGCAGGCTGATCCCGCATGTTTTTGCTTTGAAAATGAACGGAAAACAAACAAACAAGCAAACAAAAACGCACGAATGGATGCAGCCAGGCATCTTGATATTTCACAGGCGCCTTTGATTTTTTTTTTTTTTAATCTGTCGGGCGTTTGGCAAAGCTTGAGCGAAGGCAGCAGCACGGCTCACGATCTGAACTGGCTGCTGCACACACACACACACACCTACAAACACACACACGCACCCCCACGCAAACAAGCAACACACACAGGCACACAAAGCGGCCACGGGCAGCACTCACCTACTCGACCAGCCTGGTCCATACGGGAGGTAGAGGGGTCGAAGGCAGCAGCACGAAACACTCCTGTGAGCACTTCAACGTGTTCTTTTTGAAGCTTAAAAGTATTTATGAATGAAACGCCACCGTTTGGGACACGCCCACCGCCCCGTCAGAGGCGCACCACGTGACGTAGGGAGTGAGGTAAAGAAGCGAGTGAGGGATGAAGGGTCTCGCAAATGATCCCGGAAGGCATCACAGCTGGAGCTCAGCCAGAGGGAAGCCTGGGAGGCTGAACTATATGTAGGACAGTATGTTTTACACATCTTAGTCACAGCGAAGGAGTTGTTGCTGTTCTTTTTTTCCACCCCCCTTTCATTTGATTTACACATGTGAACAAAGCCTTTAGGTTATTTGGAACCATAAGATAAAAGTCTGAAGTTTTAGTGAATCAAAACATGCTCCGACATCTAACAACTCAACCGTGTTTCTCAGTTGTTAGAAGTAAAAAAAAAAACAAAAACAAAAAAAACAGCCTTGTGGGTCCATGGTTTTTGTTGGCAACAAAGGAATTTTGGCGCCATCACCTGGCAGCGAGAGGCTATGAGTTTGCTGTGTACAGAATGACTTTTTGGTTGAGGATCTTTGCAGAACCTGCAGGATCTCTGCAGGTTTTTCAGTAACCGTTGGACTTCTTAGTGTCTTTATCTGACCGGTCAATTTAAATGAATAGGCCCGTCTCAAAATAAATATAAAATGAAATAGCTATATCTATCTATCTATCTATCTATCTATCTATCTATCTATCTATCTATCTATCTATCTATCTATCTATCTATCTATCTATCTATCTATCTATCTATCTATCTATCTATCTATCTATCTATCTATCTATCTATCTATCTATCTATCTATCTATCTATCTATCTATCTATCTATCTATCTATCTATCTATCTATCTATCTATCTACCTACCTACCTACCTACCTATACCTACCTACCTACCTACCTACCTACCTACCTACCTACCTATCTATCTATCTATCTATCTATCTATCTATCTATCTATCTATCTATCTATCTATCTATCTATCTATCTATCTATAGATATAGATAGATATAGATATAGATATATAATATTTCTTCAAAATTCCAAGCAAACATTTCGTATGTATTTACAGAAAATGAGAAATGGTCAAAACGACTGCATACCTCAAGTAATGCAAATAAAACAAATTCATATTAAGTTAGAAACTACAATACAATTTTTTTAAACTCAGGAAGAGTTAATATTGCACAAAATATTAATATTTTGTTCAATATTTAATGTTTCTCCTACATTATATGTTGTTTTTAAGTTATTTAAGGACCCAAATTATTATTATTATTATTATTATTATTATTATTATATTATATTATTATTATTATTATTATTATTATTATTATTATTATTGGTTTTCAGTGGAGTTCAGTGCAGTGGTCTCTTTGAGAAATTCAAGAAACTACACTACCCATAAGGCTTTGCGCAAGCACAAACCCTTATGGGTAACCCGCAACGTCCTTGTCCTTGCGCACATCGACCGCCTTCACGGTTGGGCCGGGGATTTGGTTTTGTCATTCACCCGTACTTGAATAGAATAAAACCTTCCAAACATGATGGCCGCCAGGTTTCTCCGCCGGACTCTCCCTGCGTTGAGGCAAGCTCGCTCCTACGCTGAAGCCGCCTCCGGTGGCCCGCAAATGTCCTTCACTTTCGCCTCACCGACACAGGTACTGGTTGTCGATATTAGCTCGGCTCAAGGCCTAGCTTAGCCTGTCTGCTATTTACAGCATTTTTTTTATTTTATGTTTTTTTGCAATTAAAACGCATTGTCACCGGTTGCTATTCTGCATATCCCTGGTGCTGTGCAGATTTGAGCAATCGAACACATTTGTTGCCATTGCATCAGAACACGTCAAAAACACGGCTTAGGTCAAAGTTAGCATTTGATGAGGATAGCTTCGATAGCTAACGTGGCTGTCATTCAGTGGCTTTAGCCACTTCTGTGTCATTTGTCTTTAATTATTAAGAACCCTTTCTATTCATTTAACCAACTTATTTTTGACCTGTTTTTACAAAAAAGACATGTTGACCCTAAATACTTATTTTCTTTAACTGATGTGATAAACCTTAACCCATAGAAGAAGAAAAAATGCTTGTTGAAAAACTGTAACCTTGAAGTTGATATATTTATGACTTAGCTTGAATTTATAATGTGAAAATGCATTTGTATGGTTTTAATTTAAATCTGATTCTGCAGCCTGATTGTGCTCAATGTCCTACAGTTTGATTTGGGAAACAAATCAACATCTACTGTACAATTAAAACATTAGTTCATAGAACTTTGTACTTAATAAAGTTGTTGTGCTACCACCTTAACACCTTTTACTCTTGCTGATTTTCGATATATCAAAGCAAATATGTAATTCTCTCTGCATAGGATTTAAAATAGTCTTCAAACCAGTTGTATTCATTTGACACTTCTGATTTGTTTGTACTTTTCTTTCGTGCTTTTCCTTTTCTTCATTATAAGCCTTTAAACTCGTATTAAGAAGGAAAGGAATGACTGAGATCTAAGATCTTTTCTTCAGGAGTGTCCTGGCAGCAGAACAAAAGATGCTCAACATTTCAGGACCAAGAAAACACAACCGTGCTGTTAATGAGGAATAGAGCTAGACTTAAAAACAAAAAAATAGAGATCACAAAAAATAAAAGGACTAGTAAATAATACAACAATTGGGGGGGAAAATCTGACAAAAATAAGTTGTTTTATATGTGTGTTTACTCTCCCAGGTTTTCTTCAGAGAGGCCAGTGTGAAACAGGTTGACGTCCCCACACTTACCGGTGCGTTCGGCATCCTCCCGGCTCACGTGCCCACCCTGCAGGTGCTCCGGCCCGGTGTCGTCACAGTCTTTAATGACGACGGCTCCACTGCCAAATACTTTGGTAAGATCTTACTATTTTGCCTACATCATAAACATGTACACCAAACTATGGCAAATTGTGGAATTTTATTAGTACGTTAGGAACGTACTTAGTGATTTATATTTAAATCTCAAATATAAATTTAAATGAATAAATCAGGGCTGCTGTAAACAAATATTTTAGTAATCAAGAAATCTATTGATTATTCTTATGATTAATCAAGTAATGAGATTGAAAAAAAATCAAATAAAATAATGGTAAATCTGGCATAACACTGGTGTTACTATCAGATATCTATATCCAATTTTTTATATTTGAGCCTCCATAAAAGTTACTTTATTGTAGTTTAGAAAACTAACCTGTAATAATAATAGCTCACTTTCTAAGTTAACAAGAAGAAACGTTATGTTCAGAGCTGGATGATATGAAATTTATTGTGTGGTTTGTCCGTAAAGCTGCTCTTACACTCTAACCATCAATAAAAGCTCCATGGACCAAACTTGAAAATCGGACATTATGCCGCTAACACTTAGCTTTTGTCAGCAACTCAGAGGCATTACGCACAAGGCAAGTAATGTCCCTACCGGAACAGGGAGCATTAAGTAATAAAACATAAATTCAAGGCAGGTACATTTTAATAAACGAGGTACTCAAATCACTCCAGGAAACATTTCAGCCCTAGAACAAATGTCTATTTCAAAACTTTGATATTTCATCGTCAATATGTCACATGCATAAATCTGGGTTAGCAGATTTCATATCTAAAGCCTGTCCACAATAAAAATTTAAATGTTTTAAAAACACAATCCTCTCACAGATTACTTCTGTGAGAGCATAGTGGATGTAGCAGTGAGTATAAACTCTGCCATCACACTTAAATTTTTCAAGTCATCAAACTAATTTTAACACCCGAAAAGAGTAGCTTGCATATGTACAGTCTTAAATACTCACTTTATTTATAGATTACAAATGGCTTTCAGAAGCTTTAATATAAAGGTTAATCACATAAGTTAGAGGACTTAGTTTATCATCATAATTTTTGCAATCAAACGCCTTTCTGGAGAAAACTGAAGCTTAACAATCCTCTCCTAAAAAGTTTAAGTTTAATCTACTGCCAGGATAAATGAGTCTCTAACTTATTTACAATTGACATGAATATTAGGAGCTATTTGTTGTGAAAAAGAGTCATATTTTATAATAATCTTTTGACTTTATTGGTTAGAAAAACAGGAAGTGTCTAGTCGCACTGTTTCCAACAAATGTTTTCGAGAAAATGGAACAGTATGACTGAAAAAAAGATGCACCATTGAAAAGGTCATTAGTGGTGTTGCGAGGATCACACTAGTCCTGCTAGTGCCACCAATTTTGATTGACATGTACACCAGATGCACAATTTCTGTATAATACAAACATGATTTATGGTTGTTATTTCTGTCCGTCCGTATTCATACGTGTGAATACTTGCTACCTCTGGCTTCATGACGTCTTAAAACCTTAAGATCTTCACTGTCCCTCTCCGGACAGATGTTTGTCAATAACGCATAACCAAAACAAATCTGTTAATTGCAATGAACTTGTCCTAGCACGGCGTCTTACATTTACATTACACTGTAAACTTTGACATGTCTTTTTGCACTGAGTACTATGCTAATTGAATCATGGAAAAGCAAAGACTTTTGAGTAGGAGAAATGTGTAGGAATCCCGCTAAAGTCTTATTAGAACAGATGTATTCGGGGAAAATACTGCTCTGTTTGCCTATCATGCACACATCTAGAATCAAGAAGTTCTTGCTAAAAGACACTGTGTGTGTGTTTTTGCAGTGAGTAGCGGGTCAGTGACGGTCAACGCTGATTCTTCTGTGCAACTGCTTGCTGAGGAGGCTGTTCCCCTCGACCAGCTGGATGTAGCAGTGAGTATAAATTCTGCCGTATTACTCACCTGTGCTGCAAGGTGTTAATTAAATTCATACACTAGATTAAAAACAATTTTCTCTGCTATTCTGGAATTTCACCTAAGTTTATTCCGCTTTTCATACCTTGTTATGCCCATTAGAGCATATTTCTCTAAAGATTTTCACTTAATATTTTGTATTTACGTCTGCACTCAATAAATCTTGTTCACATCTCATTCACAGCTTGCTTGTTTTCTTAAAGGTAACCGGAAAAAGACACAAATTTACGATTAAAGCTAAATGAGCACAAATATTGTCTGAACGTTTGTTGGATTTTTCAGGCAACATTTAGGTAATAGCAGTTTTCAAAATATCAATATAAATCAAGTAAAAACATATGGTTTCAGTTTAGCAAATTAATTTGCGAGATGTTTTATGTAACAATTTAGACATTCTTTTGGTGGTCAGTAATCGCTAAAGTCAGAAATACTCTAATATTATAAGCCATTCCTTTTAGTCCTTGATTGAAACCTACTACCTATATCAAGGAAGGAGCAGGAAGGCCAATGTTTTCATCTGATTCTTGAATTAAAACAAAGTTTAAGCCAGTGTTTATGGGGATTTTTTTTTCTCATCCCTGTAAGATAAGAAAAAAAAGTCAAATTAGAAGATTTGACATTTTCTAATGTTAAATTTGTTGACATTAGAAAACCAATGTCAACCAATCTTACAACAACAACAAAAAACTCTTGGAAGTTTGTGTGTAAATTGAATATTTAGTGCTTTTAAAGCTACAAAACTCACAAAATGCCATGAGGAGAGTTTGCTGTGTTGTAACTCATTCACAGTTGGCATCAATTCGCTCAGCTCTTTTTTCCCTTCACATCAATTAAGCTGTTCTCTTGAGCTCTTTGTAAAAGGTAATCTGTCCCTGCAGTCTCAGATCATGTGCATTCTGTTCTGAAAGGACTTCTCTGTCAACTTAACAAAGTTTGAAACAGTGTGACTGGTGCTTCTGGTGCTGAGAGCAGCTCTGCAATACTCTGCTGTTAACTGGATGGCGTACACTGGGCTGGATGAAAACCGGCACTAAATGAAGTAGTGAAAGTTTAGCCCAAGCAAAAGAGGCGTTTGTGCTTTTTGAAAGACCCAGATCTTTATATCTTTTGTGCCTCGCTAAAGTCAGGAATTGATGGAAATTTGCTGCATCGCAGTCAAAGGTTCTGAGCTCGAGTAAAATCAGTTTTGTTTATACGTTTGTAAAAATTAAAACACATGCTTAACTGTGACTTATTTTACATGAATGCATATCTTAAATTTTGTCAGATTACCACAAGGAACAACTGAAATCATTGATATAAGGTCTAAAATCTGTCTTTAACACACACTATGATTAAAACAAAAAAGGCAAAATAATTGTATAAATGTGATGTTTCAATCTATACCCTGCTGTCACATTCCTTCTTCAAGCTGTGTGAAAGACGCATCAATTCTTTATAACTTGGAAATATCAACTTTGAAGTCATAATTATGATACAATTGTTTTATTGAAAACTGCAAAGTATACCATAACAAAGCAATCTGTTTATTAAATGCATTGAACCTTAACTCTCACCAATTCCCAAACTTAAATTATCTCTTTGCGCAGCACTAACCACCGGCAATAAGGTTCCTGCCATCAAAACTGCTAAAATATAACAAATCACGGTTCCTACGGCATTAAAGCTTTTTGAGTTAAAGATGAATTAAAGGAAATAATCTTCTAATTCCTTTTTTTTCTGTTGGGTTTAAAGTACTACCTTCATCAAGACACCTGCATTCAAAATCTGAACCAGCAAGTTAGACTTACAGACACATCTGGAAATGCGTATTGTCCAGAAAATGAATAATAGGAGCATGTCTCAAGCATAACATATTTCAGCTATGATGTTGACGATGTGGGTGTTTTTTAAAATAACTTTATTCTGTTCCATTCCGAGCTTCAGAGAACAAAACGAACATATTTTGTAAAACCAGAAAACGGGGTCAGTCAGTCCATTTGACCAGGATGAAGATCTGACACAGGAAGTGGAACTTGTGAGCTTACATACAACTGAAAAAGTTGTACAGACATAAAAAAAGACCCATAAAAAAGTTTATGGTTTTTCAATAAAAAACCTTTCATTGAAAAACCATAAACAAATGGTCTGTTTCCACTTATTTATGAAAATAAAACAAATTTATTTCCAGAATTCCAGTTGGTATAATTGTAAGGTCAATGGAAATGCAGCTACTGCCTTTCTGTTAGCCTGTTTAAGTCGTAGTGACTGAAATGTCATATTTTAGCGGGTTTTGAAACCGGGAAGCTTGTTGCCATGCCACACCCGAGCACACTGGATTCATCGACACGAATGGGACAATACAAGTGATCCTGTTATTAATTAGAAAACCTGTTTAATAGCCTACATTGTGGCTAAGCCAGACATGTGTTGATGCTAATGGCATCACTTCATGCAACTCCTGTTTTTTGGGGAGTTTTTTTTTTTTTTTTTTTTAAATAAAGTTCTCATTTAAAGTTTAATCGGTTGGTTTCCTCTGAGGGAGGCGTCTCTGATTGACTTTGGATTTTGACTTTCACAAATGACCAAATCTCTGTTTGATATTAATGTGATGGCGTGTGTCTGAGGAGGAGACCCGCAGCACTGAGGCCGATGTCACAGATTATCAGTTCAAGCTGTCAAAGCCGCCAGTACATTTAGTCGCAAACTCTACAAAGGAGGGGAGCTTTTTATGTTTTGCTCTTCTAAGTTGTTCTTCAAGCAGTAGCAATTGGTTTAATTTCCCTCAAACTCTTAATCAGCTTTTCCAACCTGACGACCGTCCATCTGACCAATCTGGAGGTGAAGCCCAGATTAAATGTCGGCCACGATAATGGCGGGCCGTGTTATTATCCACTCGTCATCGAGTTGTCAGTCTCTCGCTTTGGGCAGTGTTACAGTCTGTCAGCTTTGACTCTGTCGCAGTAAATGAGTTATTTTTTTTATCTTTTTTTCCCCCTTCCTGGTTGTCTTTCACTCCATAGTAACAATGCACATGGGCCCACACTGTTAATAAGGCGGGAAAGGTCAGTCACTGTCGAGTTATAGCAGATGTGCCAAGTCCCTACTGGGAGACCTTTAACTTCCAGCTATGTTTGGCATTTCTCGTTTCTAATCGCGACTGTGACAAATGGAGCTTTCAGAGCAAAGAGACAGTGGGGATTTTCTCCACTCGTCTTTGTCCTCACTTTCCACTCTTGCTCGGTCTGGCTATTTCAACTTGGACATCCCCGTTGGGGGATGCATGCGAACAGTCTCGACATGTTTGGAGCTGAAGTATTTTCCTGTTCTATACACAGATGGAAAAGGAGAAGAGAGTCTGGAAGAAAAATTTATTTCTTGTACAGCTGTAAAAATGTTGAATCTTCCATCTATCCCTTCCTCCCTCCCTATAGTTTTTTTTTTTTTAGTTCAAACTGTCTGTCAAAATGTGCACTAAACTCCGCTTGTTTTTACTTGTATGGTAAACACTGATAGAAAAAGGAGCACAAAGTCTGGATTTTTAAAAAATAATAATGCTTTGTTTTGATAAAATACGGACTCGTAAACCTGCACAAACTCTGAATTATTTCCCTACTTTGGAAGCATGTTCCAGATTGCAGAGCTTGAATTCACTTCCTGGTTTCATTGCTCCATCCCTTTTTTTTTTCTTCCATTCACTTTCAGGCAGCTAAGGCCAACCTTGAAAAAGCCCAGTCCGAATTGGTCGGTGCAGCTGACGAAGCAGCAAGGGCAGAAGTTCAGATCAGCATAGAAGCCAACGAGGCCATCGTCAAGGCTCTGGAATAGACTTGCGGTACAACTTCTCAGCTCCTTTTATCAATTTTGAGTGAAAAAGCTGAACATTCGAGGCATTATTGTGATTCTGTTCTCCTTTTTGGTTTCAGATAACCTGTTGCTTGGATGAAAATGTTCTGTTCTGCTCCAGCTCAGACCCGTCGGTGTCCAGGAAATACCATTTTTTCTTTGTACAGTGAATGAAGTTAACAATAAATTTATTTGGAGTTACTTTGTGAACTGTTTCCTAAATCTGCTTTTTGATGCTCAAAGTGCGCCGTTGTTTCAGATGAACCTCCATATCTGTTTATACGATTCAGTAACGTCCCTTTATCACATTCACTTGCAGCTTTCCGTGCAGCAGCAATTACTACCACTTGATGGCAGCAGAGAGTAATTAACCTTATTTAAACCGACCCATTTTTTTGTTCGTCATGACAAATGAAACATCCCTCACTAAAGTTATGATGATGCCATTCCTAAAAGTCACCAGTAAATCCTCAAACTTGGGAATTTTGTCATTTCTTTGGTTCTGGGACCCGGTATCAAACTGCTGTTGCCTTCTGACTTTCCATAGGGAGATGTGTGGGTTACCATTACTTGGAATCCTACGTCCCAAAAAACATTGACCTGGCAATGCCCTCTTCTGAGAGATGACAAAAAGCATCAGTGTCCAGTAAAATGGCTCCACTGTGTTCTGTGGATAACGGAGCCTCACGTTTGGTTTGCAACCACAGCGTCCAGCTCTCATTCACTCTTGAAGCAGTGACCTCAGTCACGTGCTGAATTGTTCTCAGAAAAATAGCCACAAACCTTTCTAAAAACACAACACCCATAGTAAGTGTAAGGTTGATTATTATTTTTTTGTTATTATGCTCTCTAACAGAACTCTGAGACCCAAATAGAAAAGTTATAGTTATGAGTAGATTATAGTATTATTTGTATTTGCTTGATTTTAGTCAGGGGTGTGTTGGTCTATTACATAAAATCCAATTAAAAGAAATAGAAGTTTGTGGTTTTAGCGTAACAAAATTTAGATAAGATTTGAGTTTGCTGTGCATTCATTTGAAACTATTCTGAGTCAGTTTTTTTTCTTCTTTTTTTAACTTTAAAGTCATCCATTTTAATCAGAAAAAGTGAGGCACAGATGGGAACCCAAGTAACGCAGTGCGATTAAAAAAAAAAAATCAGTGGTCGACACCTTTCACATCCTTCTCTCTGTTCTTCTTTCTAATCTGTCATCAAAACCTCGTTCCAACTGAAAACATAAAGAGTGCACACTCATCCTCGTGCAAAGCTTTTTCACAATGCACAACATTTCAGAGAAAAACTGTTGTTCATATAATCATATATATGTATGTATGATTGAGGGAATCGCCATCAATCCAGATTTATTTTGGGGCAAGGTGAAACCAAATAGTCTTTTGTTTTGTTTTTTTCTGATTTCTTCATCAAAAAGCGGCCTTGTGTTTTCCACAACCATGACCTCTCGCTTTGTGTGCAAAACTCCGCTGGATGTCTGCGGAAAATAAAGACTCTGAAATTGAGGAAGCTGTTCTTTTTCAGGTCGTGGCGTTTCCAGTGCAGGTTTCTTACGGATGTATTTTTAAGTCAACAGGATGGATGTGAGGTGAAGCCATGGAGTGCTTTAAAAAAAAAAAAAATTGTCTCTTCTTTTTGTCTTCCTCAGACGCGCGTCCAGATTAAGTGAATGTCTCATAAATGGGCTTTCAGACCTGAGTAAGTGCTGCACGGCCGCAAAAAGCATCCCGCTTTCTAACTGCTGCACATTGATAATAGGGGATGAGTATTGAGTGAGAGCCCTTACTGGAGAGCCATTTGGAGTTGAGTAAGGGCCTGGGATAATAAGTCACCGTCTGTACCCCATGCACTGTAATTAAAAGACTGTACCGTCTGCACCCGGGAGTGAATAACACCATCCAGGCTATGACGGTCCACAGAGTCATCTTTTGAGTGGTACTCGATGACGAAGCGAGTCACAGCTTTGGGAAAGCGTAGCCTGGCACGTTTATTAAATAAACCATATGGGGAATACAGGAGACCAGCCCATGTGAGTCATTTTATTTACAATGATGTCACCTCAAAAACAGGCGTGAAAGAGTTCAGTATTTTTATTTTGTTCCCCTTCAGTTTAAAGATGTGGCTTGTGCTAATTAAAAACGGTATTGTAGCGTTTAATTGAATGTGGTACTTTGGATGCTTTCAGTGGAAAATGGCGGTGTCAAATAATGACGTGAAAAACTCAATTATTAAAAGGTTTTAAGTCTACTGCTCTGGTATAAAACGGTGCATACATATTACATGAAGTTTTTAAGAGATTGAACAAACGCTTCGATCCCTTAAAATGAGGTTGCTCCTACATTGAGAAAGTTCTCAAGGGGTTGTTTTGGTTTCACTTGACGCATGCGCTCTCTAAACCGCTCTGCTTTATTTCAACGTAACTTTCAACAAATGTGCTAGATGGGTTCAGGTTTGTTTGGCTGAAGTAGCATGTTGTTGCAATCTTGGCATCGTTGCTACAGAAAACTTAGTCATTTGAAGTGAAACTGTCTTCCTGCCAATCTCAGTGCAGTAGTTTCAGCTGCATTCCACAATGACGTCTCTGAAGACGGACATAAAAGTGTGAAATTTGCAGAAACATGTTTGGGAAAAAAAAAAAAAAAACGGCTTCGAGTTTTGATTGTTTCCTGATTTTTTCCTTCAGAGTTTTCTCATAGTGACCAGAATGCAATGCTCCACTGACGAATGTTGAATTGCCCTGATCCTGAAGCGGGGAAGCTCCACCACACTGTCGCAGTTCCTCCAACACGGCTGATCGAATCATGACTTCCTGGAGCGACTCCTCAGCTGTTCTTGAAATTCTTTTCGAGTATCCCGATGCATTCCTTTTGAGCTCTTTCACCTACTTTATGACGCGAGACGTGCTCAGTATATGTAACTGCTTAGCAAGACACGGCAATTGCTATTAAAACTATCAGGAAAATGTGGATAAATACAGTTACACAGTGTTGCTTTTTTTTTTTTTTTCCAAATAGTGACAGCTCGATTTGAGTTTTTTTTTTTTTTCCCCTCAGCAAATGATTTTTGTAACACAATTAATTCTGGTGCATGTGTCGTCACACCGCTGCGAATACAAATGTGCAGGCCTCTGATAAGCAAAGTCTCCGTAATCCAGTTCATAACAACTGACTGTAAAAAAAAAAAGTGAAGCAATACCTTTGACAACTAACAGACAGTGGAATTGACATTTGGCTTTGATCAACAGTTTTCAGTTCTCTAATGGCAATGGCATCCTCTGAAGCAGAGAACAAAGAAAATCGCATAAAGCGCTGAAACCAGCGTGGTTGAGCTTTCTGCAGGGACGTGGAGGGCCATAAAATTAATCACGCCGATAGAACTGAGGCGTAAGATTTTCTTCATATGTGGGGAAAGGCTGGAATGTGACACATTCTCGTTATGAGACAGTGTAACATTTTCCTGTGTCTCTTCGGGGAGTTTTTTTTTTTTTTTCACGCAGGCTTTAGTCGCCAGGCTTGTGTGGATCTGAGGCGGGCAGAGCAACTTTAAACTCCCCGGCCTTGAAATGCAGATCAGAGTCTCCGAGTGGACGCTCCAACCGAAAATCCTCTTCATCGCTTTTACGTCAGTGCTCTCGTTCTGCTCTCGAACATCACCGGACACGCTTCATGCAACACTCACATTGACATTTCACACTCGGCGTTAATGATAGTTCAAGCAGCTGACAGCAGTCGGCGACACGTGGATCTATCAGTCACAATCGGGGCAAATAAAATAGTGTAATGATTGAATCGACCAGTGGCGAGGTAAAAACAAAAAGGAGAATGAGAGAAGGACGCATTAACTGACACGCGGTGACTCAGAAAAAAGTGTTACATGTGCATACCATGAAAAAAAAAATAAAGAAGACGGCACATTTGAATTTGTATTTACTGGAAGTCAATGTAATGTTTTTTTATGGGACGTAAGAGCAGGAAACGGAACAATGGACCGGTGCATCTGCTTTTCTGGCTCATCCTGTTTGGAGGCTGAACTCTAAACATCAGTGCAATCTTGGCAACCCGGATTATATCTGCATTACACTTTTACATAAAAAAATTTAGTGTCTTGCAAAGGTATTTAGTTCAGAATAAGGTGCTAAATTATAAGACAGTTTAAGGTAAACAGATGCAGAAATAAGCATTTAAATCAGTTTATATGCATCTTTCATATTCATATTACAATGCAATATAACTTGGTTAATAATTCATAAGGGTAAAATATTATCTAAGGAAGGCCAACTGAGAACATTGAGTTACAAGCAGCTATAATTGCTGGATTTCAAGTTCTAGTTTTGAATCAACTTCACAAAATGTGATTTATCTGCAATCTTTATTGTAGTTTATTGTCATTTTGTGTGTTCGACAAATGTTTAATGACAAATGGTTTTCAAAAACATTTGACAAATATCTTAAAGAAACAAAAAGTGACATGTATTTGTTTTCAGTTCCCTCTACCACAGTGCCCCGAAATAAAATCCAGTGCAACTGATTGGTTTGAGATCTAATTACACTATCCCAAGCTCGGGTGCAGCAGCATCTGTTAGAGGCAGCAAAAAACTTGAGACTGGACCAGAGTTTCAGCTTTCCCCAAGATAGCAAGCCCAAACATACAGTCTGTGCTGCAGTGGAATGGATTAGATCAAATTTAGTTCAATTTAGTTCATATGTTTGAATGAACCCGTTCATCCTCAGACAGAAATCTATCTACAAACCGAAGACGAGACCTCTGCACAATGAATGTTCACACACGTCCAGTTTGAATGAATTTGGAGGAGAATTTGCAAAAGGAGCTGGAGACTGTGGATCCGATAGACGTACCCTTCTCTAGACATGAAGATGCATAAAAAAGTGAAAAAAAAAGGGTTGTGAATAAGTTTTGCAAAGGACTTTGTATTCCCATAGCAGGTGGCAAGCTGCAGGATATTAGGAGTGCCTGATATGTGAAGGCAAATAAGAGACCTGAGAGACGAACGAAGAGGAAATTAAAGGTCTGGAAAATTTAAATGCTCTCAGCAATGAGCCGGTTATGATTTTGAGGACTGCAATTTTCCACAAGCCGGAGTGTTCCAAAATTACACATAGGATCCGTCGTGCATAATTATCTGCCTTCGAAATTTTATTATACCGTGGATGTCAGCGTGGTTCAGCTGCATAAACACA